ACTTTGTTGTGCCACGAGCTTAAACACTCAAAGAGCCATTTGGACCCGTTTCCCACAGAAAAGAAAACACCGGGAGCCACAAAGGTCCTAACCAGAAGTCCCCCATTCAATTCTGGAGCGACCAGAAGTCTGGTTCCCCCACCATGGAGTCTCCTCTTAGCACAGTGTCCTTTTCCTTCTCCTTGTCCTAACTGAACGCCCTATCAATTGTGGACCCAACTGGAAAACCTGCCACTTGCCATAGAGTCTCTTCCTCGCATGCCATGCTTCCCCCCCCCCAGCCTCAAGTGGAAGCTCCTCTCAAAATTGTGGTGCCAACCAGCAACAGGGAGCCACAACAGAGGGATGAAAGAGCCACATGCTGCTCTAGAACCACGGATTGCTGACCCCTGACATAGATTAAGCGAAAGAAGAAAAATCTCTTCTTTATCTCCCTCACTCCCCAAAATGCAGAAAAAAACTCCGATCCTTATTCTATCCATATGTATGACATCCAGTTTTATCCATTTCAGCCTTTACTCACACGCACAAAATATTGTCTGTGGCTTCTTGCTATCAAAATATATATACGATGTTCAGCTTTTCTTGATAACAACAATTTTCTCTGATATGGATTTATTTATTAGATTTATTAGGCCACCCTATCTCATGCACATGACTCTGGGTGCCTAACAACATGAAAAATAATAAAAAGTACATTTTTTTAGAATAGAAAAGATGAAATGGAACAACAAAGAGAAAATTATAAAAACATTACTCAACATAACACAAAAATGGGCTCCATCACACACTTGTGGCCGCAGACTCAAAGACTTTTTACTAAGATGCCACTGAGCAAACTGTGAGATATCCTTCAGTATATTTTATTTATTTTAAATTCTGCTCAGTCAGCATTCATGTATCATTTTGGGAGTTTTCTTGGGGAAAATTGGATAATGACAGCTGCCTTGATATCCATGTTGCTTATATAGTGTCTTTGTTAACATAATATCCTTAACTAGCTTATTCAAAAGCTTATCAACAACATTCTACCTGGTTAGAGTTAATTTGATGAAGGTAATGATTTTTGCCTTATGTAAGCTAAATTTGTTTGATTAGATTCAAGGCATTGAATGAATTCAGAAAATAAATTAATTCAGTAAGCAGATTAATTATCCCATGTGAACAGTATATATAAGCAGACATTTAACCCATCCAGCTCCTCCCTGAATCCCAATGTAGTTATTGGGAGAGAAGAAAATCATTTGTTGATAATTCAGAGATCCGCCCGGTAAAATAATAAAATGTATTTTCACAACGTTGGCCTCCTTAAAAATTTTATTTTAAATTATAAGGTCTGATCCTGACCTCTTAGAGGTGTGGAAAGCTCTGCTTTCTGTAGCATTACTTAACATGTTTGAAGTCTGGCTCCTACTCAAGTTAAATCTCATTTAACTTGTCTTTAAAAGGGGGAAACAACCTTGTATTTTCCCCCTTCCTAAGAATGCCATTTCTCCAAAGAACTAAAATCCTGCCTTTTTTTTTTTAATTCACTGGAAATATATTTTCATTGCAAGAAGGTTTGTCATAATTTTATTTCTTCTTGTTAACTATGATCTTTCCTTTGGATTTTGCTACGTGTCTATTTTAGGTTCACCATCAATGTTTTGACATAGGCAACTTCCTTGAGTCATTTCCCCCCCCCCCCCAACCAAAATATGTCCATGTTGCGCTCATTTTTCTCCCTCCTTTCTAAATACACTTTGTGTATTTGTGTTTGCATTTACAGACTGTGTTGATGATCAACACTTATGCTTTGGGATGCAATGAAGAATATTTCAGTAACTGGAGTGAATTTCAGCCAGAGCGTTGGTTGCAAAAAAATATCCATCCATTTTCTCATGCGCCGTTTGGAATTGGAAAAAGAATGTGTGTGGGGCGTCGACTGGCAGAGCTGCAACTCCAGCTAGCTCTCTGCTGGGTAAGCATTCTGTTCTTTTAGATACATCTCTCTCTCTCCCATTCATCTGTACAAAAGAGAAACCATTCTATGGCAGCAGAAATGTATTTCCTTGTAATGGAATGTAGGGATGATCTTGGAGAACAAAGAGGCAAAGAGATGCTACAGAGGGGACGGTCAGACAAGAGAGGGAAGAACCAGGGGTGGGTTTCAACCAGTTCGCGGAGGTCCCCGCGAACCGGTTGGTCGGCGAACCCGGAAGTAAGTAACTTCTGGGAACGGTGAAGGGCCCACCCGCCCACGCTCCTTACTGGTCTTTGAAGGCTTCATACAGCACCTGCGCGATTCTCCGTGAGCAGCTGGAGCATCATGCAGGCGCTAAGACACATGCGTGAACAGCGCGCGTGCACGAGGACGCCGCCGGCCCCGTTCCAAATGAACTGGTTGGAACGGGATAAGCAACCCACCACTGGGAAGAACCCACAGTCACGTAATGGTCAGAGGGGGAAAAAAACTAAGAAAGACCTGCCTCGATTGATCAGTTAAAAGTGATGTGGGAAGTTTGTACTTTCAGAGTTGCAAGAATAAGTAGCCTTACAGTAATGTGGAATTAAGCAGTAAAAAGTAACAGGGTCGGAAGGGACCTTGGAGTTCATCTAGTCCACGCCCCTGCTCACACAGGAGACCTGTACTAGGGATTCGAACCGCTGACCTGCCAACCTTTCTGATCAACAAGCTCAGCATCTTAGCCACTGAGCCTCCTCGTCTTCTGGTTGTGTTTCCTATTTGGTTCACCTGGAATAGCTGACGTCCATATAAATTATCGAAACCTACATATCTTCTCCACTGCAATTTTGCTAATCCCCGATGGTATTTCACTTGAGAGACAGAGATGTGAGAGTCTAAAGTTTTTTTTTTTTTCCAAAGCAGGGAATATAGCAGCTTTGCATGTACCATAGCAATGCTTCAGCTTAATGTTCTTCTTCAGGCACAGCCAGAAGGAAATTATGTACGTATGCTTCTGCTTTGGTTTTGCATTCCTCACATTTGCTACATCAATTGAATCCAACAAGTGTGATGAATCTTAGAATTAGAAGAAACTAGCCACTTTCCAGGCACAGATTGCAAAATTGGCTAGTTTCCACAGCTCAAGATTTAAAGGTAGAAAACCGAGCTGTGATTAATTTCCAATGGGTGAAGAAACTCTCAGTTTCCCTCCTTGTCATCACTCTGGAGGGAGGAAGAGCAGAGAATGCAAGCTTTTTGTTTCATTAAGCTAAGTTATTTAAATATTAGGTAAAGATAAAGGTAAACGTTCCCCTCGCACACATGTGCTAGTCATTCCTGACTCTAGGGGCGGTGCTCATCTCCGTTTCAAAGCCGAAAAGCCAGCGCTGTCCGAAGACGTCTCCATGGTCATGTGGCTGGCATGACTAAATGCCAAAGGTGCACAGAACGCTGTTACCCTCCCACCAAAGTGGTCCCTATTTTTCTATCTGCATTTTAACATGCTTTCGAACTGCTAGGTTGGCAGAAGCTGGGACAAGTAACAAGAGGTCACTCCATTACGCGGTGCTAGGATTCAAACCGCTGAATTGCCAACCTTTCTGATCAACAAGCTCAGGGTCTTAGCCACTGAGACACGATGTCCCTATTTAAATATTAGTCAAAGTTTATTACAATATTTAATACATCAACACTGATCTTTTTTGAAGTTACAGAACATCTTACAGATGTTCTTATATTAATTATGAGGGCCAGGATTTCCTGAGAAACAATCTGTTCAAAGTTTTGCTGTCCAAGCCCTACTGGAAGATCTGAAAGGATACATTGGAGCAATTTTCTCCTTTGTACTGGAGAGTGAATTGTCTTTTTCATGAGATGAACTTCCAATTTTCATTAAATCTAGGAGGAGGACTCTCTTCACAAAAGATCTTCAAAAAGAGGCTGGGTGGTCATCTATCAGAGATGCTATAGTGATCCTGCACTCAACAGAAGATTGAACCAGAAGATCCCTTCTAATTTTAAGGTTCTGGGGTTCTGTGTTGTCCTTCCAAAGGAAAAGCGACCAAATGAAAGCATTCCTACAATCATTCCTACCTAAAAAAAATTATATTGCTTATTTCTCTTACTGAAAGGGATGAACTTTTCAAAGCCTTATGGACTTTGCTGTATCAGATTTTCCTGCTATTGCTGCCTGTGGGGTTAAATTTTGACACAGACACTGACAGGTTCCCCAGCTCAGAATAAATCTTGATTACAGGTTGGGGAGGCTCTGATGAACTTCATTTCCCTCCTTGTTATTACAGCTTATACGGAAGTATCAGATTGTAGCTACTGACGACAAGCCGGTAGAAGCTCTTCATTTAGGAATCCTCATCCCCAACCGAGAACTTCCTATTGCATTCAAACGACGCCAAGGTAAAAATTAGTGTCCCATAATGGAGTTAATTATGTTTAAGATGATCTTTAACCTTAAAGTCAAAATCAGAGACTCTTCAGAAATGGAATGAGAATGACTGGCAGCTGTTGAGAGTAATTCTACTTGCATGTTTTTGAAAAGGAAAATTTCTAGCTATCATGATTGCAGAGGGACAGTGAAAGAAAAGAAAGAAGGAAAGCAATGCAATTTGTTAACATCCTACATTTTGAAAGTGTATGCAAACACAGATAAACATTTGGGTCATGATAGACAACTATTTTGTCAAGTACGGAATACCAAGAAAGCACTTTGTGAACTGAGTTCATTGTGACATACTGCATTTTTGGAGTACAAGATGCACCTTTTTCCTCCCCAAAGGAGGCTGAAAATCTGGGTGCATCTTATACACGGAATACAGCATTTTTTGCTTCCCAAAACCCCTCCTCCTTACCAAAAAGGCCATGCAGAGTCTTTTGGAGGCTTTCAGAGTTCTCCTGGGGGCTAGGGAAGGAATAAATGAGCGAAAAATGGAGCGTTGTTTGCTCATTTTTGCCCCTCTCCCAATCCCCAGGTGCACTCTATAAGCATCCTCAATGTTATACATGCCCCCCTTTTTTTTGACAAAAAAAGGCCCCGTTTTCACGAAAAATGGGCCGTTTTTGGGAGGTCTGCAGAATGCAAAAACTTTTTTTTTAATTTGCCTCTTCAAAATCTTGGTGCATCTTATACTCCTTGCATTTTATACTCTGAAAAATATGGTAAGTGTGATATATGGACTGAAGGTTCCTGGTGCAAGCACACATGTGCTAGGAATGAAATAAATCAGGACATTTTAAAGTTCTGTTTTGATCAGTTCCTTTTTAAAATTTGGCTACTAAGGCCTTTCGTAAATATATTGGTAATCAAAAATACTAGTTTAACTGTTTCCCCTTTTCTTCCTGAACTGAAGAATTGATTAAGTTGTCTCTTTGTTTTCCCATAGATTCTACCGGAGGAACAGCTGACATTTTTGTTAGTCAGAATTCTTGAATTTTGGATTCCCAGATCCTGCTAGAGTCTACTTATATTTTGAGCAATGGGTGTTAACAGCAAGGACAGAACAGCAGGAATCCAAAGCTAGCTTGAAAGCAAATCAGTCAAGCAATGTTGAGCACACCTAAGCAGTCACTTCACATTAGTGTAAAAGGTATACCAAAGGTTCCAAAGGTATACAGTGGAAGAATGACAGAATTACAAACTTGGTAGTTTCTTTACTCCTAATCTTGGGATGAAAGAAAGGTCCATTCTTTTGCACCTGCTGCTGTGAAATGTACAGTTCTCAACCCATGCTGTTAATGTTTGTAGGAAAGCAATAATCATGAAGTGATGGAGTGACTTGAGTCTGTGAGTTCGCTCTTGATGTCAGGATGGAAACGCTGGAGGAGAAATTTTGTTTTGCCTATCTCCAAGTCCTGATGGAACTTTAAATGAAGACCTTTGTCTGCAAGAGGGTGAACGTGATTGCAAAGGGACGGAAAGTATCCTAGGGGGTGGACTGTGTTAGATGTCCGTAAGGGAAAGAATGGTAATAATAGAAGTACTAATAGAGGAGGAGAGCTGTGTTAAGTCTACGGTGGCAAGAAATCTGGAATGAATGCAGGGTTTGTAGAAATGCTGAAGGGCAGTATTTGAAAAAAAAACAAAGTAAGTCTGGTTGTCTCTGATGTTGCATTGTTACAACTACTGGCGCTTTGAGCAAAGCCAGCAACTATATATGGAGAAATATCATGCCTACAAACACACACACATACACTCACCCAGAGACTTTCAGGCAGACAGAACAATGAGTCACATTACAGAATGCAGACCACCCAAATTGTTATGAGCCCTTCAAGGTGATGTGTACTTTGGAGACCAGAACAAATAACTTATGCTCGGAGGCAGTGAGCTGTACACTCGATGACTCCATCTATGAGGTGAATAAGATCATACAAGCAGACCAGTACAATTTATTCCCATCCAAATCAAAGCCAGCTCCTAAATTATTTCTAGCAGTCCAACAACTTTTCCTTTTGCTAACTGAAGAACTGAGGCCATCATGACATACACTGATGCAACTTAAACGGCAGATATTATGGGGAGCAATGGCAAGTCTAGCTATTCCATTCTCTCCAACATAGACACTCATATAATCTGTCCACCACCTTTTAAGCTGTTTATCAGCTTTCATGTGTGGATGGTAGGAGAGGGAGATGGGATGCTATCTTTTCTTTTGCCACAAAACAACAGTATATCTTGGGTTCGTCAGATATGATGATGGTGATCTTTTAACTGCCTTTAAAACAAGAGTAAACAAATTCTTTGGGACAATGTTGTAAGAGTTCCATGCAGGTTCTTGATCTCAGAACTGAGAGTAAATTAGATGTGATTCATTTTTGAACACGACTTCCATGTCTGAGCTACCACGGTTGGAAAGAGGATGCTAGTCTGTTTAGACAATCAGTCTGGTCCAGCAAGGTTCCACTTTAGTTTCCAAATTCACACTGATATGTCACAATTTAAGCAGAATGGAACATCTGCCTTACAACATTCCATAGAATATAAGGATAATAGTTCCCAGGTATTTTATTGTATTCCTTTTGATACAGTTTCCTTCTTTTTTTGTTTTTACGTGTTTTTAATTGTATTTGTTTTTTTAAAAAAGTAAATGTGTTTTTTAAGACCTCTCTATTTTGAAGATTGTTCAGAGCTTATTTTTTCTTTGTTTTTTAAAAATAAATTTCAACATCCATTTCATTGTTGATATTTAAGCCCTCTGTTCTGTTCTGAAAATTTTATAATAAAAAGAATTTTGGACAGGTTTTTTTTTTATATTTGCATTGAACGTGTCTAGCTTCTTCAAGATTAGCAGACTTTATAAAGCTTTTTAATGGAAATTGCTTGTGGTTGTGATGCTTTCTTCTATTCAAAATGGTTTTTGCACTGAATGCAATGTTTGTACAGTATTTTCTTTAAAAATGGTTTCCCCTAAATCTACACTGAGCCCAGACACCTTTCACAAATCCAGATCTCATTTCAGAAATCAATCAGTCAGCATAACACAAATACAACTCCCCCACCTAAAATTAAAACTCTTTCCCCATCTCATATAATTGAACTAATACATCATTATACTGTATATTATATACCTCTGGAACAGCTTTCCCACCAATGTGAGGTTGGCCCCAACCTTCCTATTCTTTCAAAAGGGCCTAATGTCTCTTTCCGTTGGCTTGCAGCCCCAGTGGGGGAACAGCACAATGGAGGTGGTTGATTGAGTAATAACAGATCCTACCTTCCCCCACTCCCACCTTCCCTATGTGTCTAATTTTAATTTTTTATTTATTAATATAATATAGTAGTAGTAGTAGTAGTAGTAGTAGTAGTAGTAGTAGTAGTAGTAGTAGTAATAATAATATATACATACATACATACATACATACATACATACATACATACATACATACATACATACATACTACTAGAAGCTGCCCAGAGTTACCCTATGGGTGGCCAATACATTTTATAAATAAATAATCAGAAAAATATTCTTGTATGCTCAAAAAGGAAAATAGCCAAATTTCGAGTAGG